AGTTGGTATGGGTACTTCCACCTTTTCATGTTCTCTGTATGTATAAATATCTTCTGTCTTTGTGTTCCATTCTATGCATCCGAAGAAGTGAGCTGTACCCCACGAAAGCTTATGCTGAAATAAATGTGTTAGTCTCTAAGGTGCCACAAGTACTCCTGTTCTTTTTGTACATATTCAGTGAAGCAGCCATGTGTGTAGCAGTGCAGTTGTTAGCACAGAGCTCCTATCTTCACTTCTCCTGCCTCAAAACTGCCTCTATGGTAATTTAGGCTTGGTCTACACTAGGAAATTTGGTTGGTGTAACTATGTAGCTCAGGAGTATGAAAAATACACACCCCTGAGTGACACAATGAAACCGACCTAACCCCTGGTGAAGACAGCGCTAGGTTGATAGGTGCATTCTCCCATTGACGCACCTACCACCTCTCGAGGAGCTGCAGCGCCTACAGAGATGGGAGAACCCCTCCCGTCTGTGCAGGTAACGTCTTCGCTGAAGCGCTTTGGCTCAGCTGCAGCGGTGTTGCTGTGCCACTGTAGCCATTTGGGTGTAGAGAAGAAGCCCAAACTGTCTGGGAAAACCTCTCACCCCTCCCAACTTCCTCTCCGAGTCCTGTCCCTGCTGTGACATTAATTTGAGCATGCTGGGCACCTTGTACAAGACTAAGGGGAGATCCAGCAGTTAACAATAAGAACAGAAATAGGATTGGCTACAGACAAGCAATGAGACCAAGTTAACTTAACTGTAGGAAACATGTTTAAACCAGTAAAAAGAAATTCTGAGCAATGCTAGCATTGAAGTCACTAAGGTTTGTAATTGCTCTGGAATTCTAAGAGGAGAAATGGAAAGGCACCGAGTATGTACTGAGCTACCATAAAGACTAAAAGTAGCATCAATCCTTAAAGGCACTAGTGCTTCTTGAATTGTATTGCAGAGTGAGCATATCTGATAATATACATGCGTGACCCACTGGTCAGTGTGTGTTATGAATTACCCTCGGTGGATGGCTGAGAGTCAGTTACAGGCTCCATCTAGACACTGGAGCTTTTGTTCAACCTGAAGGCACTTGAGCATTTAGCTCTGGAGGGTTCTGGTTCAAACCACAGAGTACTGGGCCCAGAAGGCATGACAGCCTTTGGGCTCAAAAGTGCCTCTTTCCGACAAAAACCCACAGGAGCAATGTTATCATCAACATGGCTCCCCATGATTGCAGCATCAGGACCCAGATATTCTTTAACACAGGTCCAAGAATGCTGCAAAGCACCCGGTTGTCTGAAATCCTCAAATGTTCATCACTGTGTTCATTTCCAGTTTTTCACACTGTGTCATTCTGGATGGACTGTGCAGTGAGGTTCAGGTCACAACTTGAGTTTAATTGTTCTTCCATTTTTGAGGGGAATGATTTAAAAATACCTTTTTTTCTATGGGAAAATCATGATTATAACCATACTGTGTGGATGCAGCTTACCTTCTCATCCTCAGACTTGGCCAGTGTCTCCGTTTCTCCTGTTGGGTTGGTGGTTTAGCGCCCCTACCTCTCCCCCTGCGCCCTCCCCACCCACACTGAACCAAAATCTCCCCAACCTGGGGTAAAATAACATTAAAAATAAAAACACAAAACCCTCTGGGCTAGAGATGCTTCCTCAGAGGCTGAGTGACCATTTCTTCCCTTCGGCTGCTTCCACGTAGGGCTCCCAAATTCTCCTCTGCTCAGCTCGTCTCTAAGCTTATCTCAGTTTGCTTTTACAGGTTTCACTTTTAAGCCATTTCTTTTTGTCAACTCAGCCTCCCTGCTCTCTTTCTTGCCAGAGAGACTCACAGCAGGTCCTACCAACTCCCCTCAGTCCGAATACAGGAGGCCTTTCAAATTCAGAAATGATATCCACAAAGGAGACCTTTCCAGAAAAGGACAAGTATGTAAGAAGAAGGCATTATAATGGAATGAGAATGGCAGCTTTCATTATGCTGAATGCTACCAAGAAAATTCCATGCTTCAATGTGTCCTTGGGTAGTTATTGAAATTAGGGTCCTTCTGTCAATGACTGAAAGGGTGACATAACATTTTTGAAAAGCTTAAAAGTATAAGCATCAATCAGAAGCCGTGTTGCTGGTTATTCTAATTTTTCTGTGACAGATTTGATCATTTTATACTGGGATACGACACACACACCCTTAAACATAGCTCCAAACTTGTACATGTTTCTTTTTGGTAAGTTAAGCATTCCTGTTGTATAGAGCAGCCATTTTGGTCTCATAAGTGCTGCACAATGATACAAAGGAGACGCATCCCCCATACTCTCGCCTGGGGAATATACTTCAGACCTTCCCTGTTGTTTTCCATATTCCTAAATGAAACAATGATGTAAACGGACCCCAGACTGGCCACAGACATTGTCTGTAGGATGCCATGTTGGCAAGCCAGAGGGGCTTCAAAATGAGTGGTGGAGAGTAATTGCAATACATGAGCAATACATGGCTCACACGTAGCACTGAGCACTGTGGAGACTCTGGGCTGCTCTGGGTTGTGGACAGACCATAGGTAGCCTGACTAAAGCAGCTATACGATTACTCTCACTCGAACATGGAAACCCCAGACAGTCCAGAATCAGGCAGCACAGAATTTTCCTTTGTCCCATGTCAGGGTTGTGCCATGTGCTCTGAGCCTCCAAGGTCATTAAACAGCAGCTATAGAAATTAGAGACACAAATATTCTGTTTACACAGTAATGTCTCCCTTGTGGCATCCTGAACTTACCCTTCTCCATTTACAGCAATTCTGCCCCAAACCGCAGGTTCCAATCCATGTCCAATGAGGGTAACATGTATGGAGGCAGAAGCCCCCAGCAAGACGACAAGCAAAGAGGTTATTGATGCCCTGTGTGATTCCTGCACAAAGAAAAAGTGTCTTCATTTTCATTCACATATAAGTGTAAACAAGGGCTGTGATTGCAGCATGACGGGCATTTCCCATTAGCTGAATTTCCAATTCACTGAGACAAGGCCAAGTCAACCCAATTATCTTCCTGTGCCTGTGCCCAGTCAAAGGCTGCTCCTAAGAAATGAGCAGAGTGACTTAATTCAGGAGATCTGCTGGCTTCCTGGCTGCAGGCTTCCGAACTGTAGCACTGACCATGGGAGTCCTTCCCAGCCCCACCCCTGTACAGGATGGAAAGCAGGCAGCTGTCTGCACCACCAACTTCTAAGAGTGGGGCAGTGGTTTTGCTGCCGTGGTTTTGACTCTTTCTGATTCCAAACACTGATGTACTAGGCAGTATCTAAATGCTGATTGGCCGAGCAGGGTTGAACCAGCTCAGCACTGGGTTGGGTGGCTGGTACTTTTAGAAAGAGAAGGGTTTAAACAAGTCCCTCCAGTCAGAACGCCTGATTGTCAGTGAGAGTCGGCACAGACATTCTTGTGAAGACTCAGCACTTGGCAATACTGACTCAATGATCAATTGCCAGTCTTAGACATTCCAGACAGGCTGGTCCTTATGAGAATGTGGCCCAAATGTCCTTTAGGATATTAATATTAGACTATTTTAAACTAGATTTTAGCTCTGCTTTCCTTAAAGTATCCAATGTGAAATTCCCCAGGGTACAATCTGGACCACTGAACAGCCGTATTCCCTCAGGTCTCCAACCTGCAGTGCCTCCTACACTGCTCCGCTGTGAAAGCAACCACTTCTGGCCCTGCTCATGCACAGTCCCCTAGCATGGAAAGTCACTCCCAGCTGAATTAGAGGAAAACTTCCAGCAAGACACTCCTGAATTATCCTGCAGAGCAACACCAGCCAATTCCCAGTGTCAGCCTCGTCCCTCAGAAATGTGCATCTTGTACTGTTCAGTACCCTCCTGCACAATACAAGCTCATAGGAAGTCTGTCATTTCATCAAAGGAAAAGGATATGCACAGACCCTGCTGTCTCAAGTGAAGGTTCACAAACTCTTCAATCCAAACACTTGAATCCCCTAGAACAAAGGGTATTTTCATTGGGTTAGGCCAGAAGAAGAGGACATAAGCTGAAAATGTCCAGTCTTTTTAATCTCTCCTCATACAGAAGCTGTTCCATACCCCAATCATTTTAGTTGCCATTGTCTGTAACTTTTCCAATACTAATATATCTTTTTTGAGCTGGGGCAACCACATCTGCACAAAACATTCAGCACCTGCACACAACATTTAATTAACGTGGATTTATAAAAAGGCATCATGATATTTTCGGTCTTATTATCTATCCCTTTCCTAATGGTTCCTAACATTCTTTTAGTATTTTCTGTTAGTGCCGCTGTGCGTTGAACAGATGTTTTCAGGGAACTCTCAACAATGATTCCAAGATCTCCTTTTTGAGTGGTAAAAGCAAATTTACACCCAATCTTTTTAGACATATAGTTGGGATTATGTTTTCCAAAGTGCATTACTTTTCATCTATCATCATTGAATTTCGTCTGCCATTTTGTTGCCCAGTCACCCAGATTTATGAGATTCCATTGTAACTTTTCACACTCTGCTTTGGACTTCACTATCTTTGAGTAATTTTGTATCATCTACTCTTTACCCCTTTTTCCTGATCACTTATGAATATTTTGAACAGTACTGGTCCCAGTACTGACCCATGGGGACACCACTATTTACCTCTCTCCATTCTGAAAACTGACCATTTATTCCTACCCTTTGTTTCCTATCTTTTAGCCAGTTACCAATCCATGAGAGCACAATCCCTCTTATCCCAGGAATGCTTACTTTGCTTCAGAACCTTTGGTGTGGGACCTTGTCAAAGGCTTTCTGAAAGTCTAATTACACTATATCCACTGGATCACTCTCGTCCACATTTGTTGACCCCCTCAAAGAATTCTAGTAGATTGGTGAGTCATGATTTCCCTTTGCAGAAACCATGTTGGCTCTTGCCCAGCTCATTGTATTCATCTATGTGTCTGATAATTCTGTTTTTTACTATCGTTTCAACCAGTTTTCCTGGTACTGAAGTACCTTTGTGATCATCTAGTCTGAAGGGACTACCCCAAAATATTTCTTAGAGGCTATCTTCTAGGAAACCCCCGCCTCCAATATTTCTTGATTTAAAAATTGTCCAGGATGGAGAATACATTGGTAAATTGTTCCAATTGTTAATTACTTTCACTGTTAACAATTTCCATCTCGTTTCCAGACTGAATTTGTTTAGCTTCAACTTCCAATCACTAGATCACAAAATACCTTTATTTTCTTGTTTGAAGAGCCCATTATTAAATATTTTTCATCATACATGTACTTAGAAATTGTGATCAAGTCAGCCCATAACATTCTCTTTGTTAAGATAAAGAGATTGAATTTTCTGAGTCTATCACTATACGGCATGTTCTCTAATCCTTTCATCATTCCTGTGGCTTTTCCCTGACCCCTATGCAACTGATCAACATTCTTCCTGAAGTGTGGACACCAGAACTGGAAACAGTACTCAAGATGTGGTCACATCTGGAGGTGCGAAATAGAGAGGTAAAATAATCTCTCTAATCCTACTCAAGATTTCCCTCTTTCTGTATCCAAGTTATGTATTAACCTTTTTAGAAACTTTCAGCCAATCCACAACCCCCAAATCTTTTTTCAGTGTCACTGCTTCCCAGGATGGAGTCCCTCATCCTATAACTGTGGCCAACCTTCTTTGTTCCTAGATTCATACATTTAGATTAAGCTGTATGATTGTTAACTTGTTCCCAGTTTACCAAGTGATCCAAATCCCTCTCTATGAGTGCTCTCTCCCTTAATTTTTGTCACCTGCTAACTTTCTGGGTGATGATTGTATGGGCTTTTTTTTTTTCAGGTCCTTTATAAAAAGTTTAACTAGTGCCGTAGCAAGAACCAATCCCTGTAGGACTCCACTAGGTAGAACGTTGTTGATAGTATTATAGGTCATAGTTCAGCCAATCTGACTGGATCTTAATAGGCACATTAAAGACACCTTTCTCACCCCAGGACTATTCTCCAGTGAAATGTGAAGTATCTGCTGAAACCATACAACTCTTTTGAAAAAAACCTGAAAAAATTATGATACACAATTTTTAGAAATCTTAATACAGACTCACCATTGTCCTTCTATATTCTCCCTTCATTTCATTAAGGTCTTACCTGGAGAGCTTTGCAGCACCAGGAAAAAGACAGCAAAGAGTAGGTAGAGAATCTTCATGGCTGAAGTTTGCCTGGGAGCTCAGTGTTGCTGGAGAGAAGACACTGCAAGATAGAGAGGAGATGGAGAGTCTCTATTTATGGGCTACCGTGGATTGTGAAATATTGATCTGTTGAAATCTTTTTTGAAGCATGTCACATTTACTAAATTTGTGTTGCAATCTGTTTATAATTATCTTTATAATTATAATTTATACAAGTATCAGAGGGGTAGCCGTGTTAGTCTGGATTTGTAAAAAGGAACAGAGAGTCCTGTGGCACATTTAAGACTAACAAATGTATTGGACGCATCCGACGAAGTGGGCATACACCCACGAAAGCTTATGCTCCAATACATCTGTTTGTCTGAAAGGTGCCACAGGACTCTCTGTTATAATTTATACCGCGTCATAAACATTCCTGGAGAATTTCAGGGAAACACAGTAGTCAAGTTCCTGCTTTGTTCAAGTTACAATATGAGTATTTGCAACTAGCAAATATCTACTGCCTGATCGAAAGCTCTCTGAAAAAATGGAAAGCCTCCTATTAATTTGAAATGAGGGTCCTTTCACAGAGAAGAATTTCAGAACACAACTATACCTTGGAAGCATTTATAGTAGGGCATGTGCATATTGTTTTGTACAATATTTAATCAACATTTTACTTGTATTTAAGGAAATTTACTAATTTCATGCGTTGAAACCCATTCCAAAGAGGCTAAAAATCCTTTTTAAGAGAGATTTATGAGAAATAAAGTGAATAACATTATTAATACTGTATGCCAGGAATCCATGGATTTTTTGCTGCGTATCTAAATTGATGAATTTTACATTTAATGATGGTAGAAAACCATGAGGTTTCCCTTTCTTCTTTCTCTCATAACAAGCATCAGCCTTAACGAGAACTATTTAAAGTAGAGACATAAAATGTTGATGCATCAAACATGGGGAAGCCAGTGGCCTTTGCAGGTGCCAAGCACCTCTCAGGATTTGTCTCATTCTTTCAGGACAGAGAGAACAAGAAGTGATTGGGCTTAAACTGCAGCCAGGGAAATGTAAGAACATTTCTAAGGGTTCTATAGAGCTGTATGACACCTCCAAGTTCCCTGGGGGATTCATTCTAACCAGGGTTCAGAGCCTACAAAATACAACCCCCTGCACAAACCTTCACAGACCCCTTCGCAGACCCCCTCCTATTCCCCTTCTTCCTCTTTCCCCCCATTTCCTCCCGTTTGGAAGCACCAAATAGA